CGAGGTGAAGAAGTTGATAGACGCTAACTTCGTGCGGGAGGAGCAATACCCCACGTGGCTAGCCAACGTTGTGTCAGTTAAGAAGAAGAATGGAGAAATTTGAGTATGTGTTGACTTTAGAGATTTAAATAAACCGTGTCCAAAAGATGAATTTCCACTACCGATACCAGAGTTAATGGTGGACATTGCGTCAACACATGAGATTTTCTCCTTTATGGATGGATCGTCAGGTTATAATCAGATCAAGATGGCTCCATAGGACGCATCACTTACAGCTTTCAGGACGCCTATTGGAATTTTCTGCCACCCAATGATGTCGTTCGGGCTGAAGAACGCTGGAGCAACTTATCAACGAGCTATGACGAGGATCTTTGATGACCTCATCCACAACCAAGTGGAGTGCTACGTGGATGACCTGGTCGTCAAGAGCAAGCAACAAATAAGTCACTGGTATGATTTGAGGATCGTGTTTGAACGATTACGACAATATAATCTTAAAATGAATCCCTTGAAATGCGCCTTCGGTGTTATCTCCGGGAAATTTTTAGGATTCGTTGTCCGTTATCGGGGAATCAAGATTGATCCAGATAAGATTAAAACTATCTTGAAAATGCCTCCTCCCAAAACCTTGAAACAACTACGTTCCTTTCAAGGGAAATTGACATACCTAAGACGCTTTATTTCTAATCTCTCAGGTCGGTGTCAGTCCTTTTCGGCATTAATTAAAAAGGACGTCACATTCGTTTGAGAAGAGAAATGTCAGCGGGCTTTCGAGGACGTTAAGCAGTATTTAATGACACCTCCTGTTTTGGCAGCCCATATCCCTGAAAAACCATTGATACTTTATACTGCGGCCTTAGATACAAAGACATGAGAGAACATCTTCTTTTAATTAGTTGGTTAATCATCTAATTAAAAACGTGGTGTTGTGCTCCACAAAACTTTTGTGGTTAATCATCTAATTAAATATGTTAAGCAGTATTTAATAGAAACGTGGCGTAAATACCAACTATTAATGTTTTGTATCTTTACGCCCGCTTCGTAAGCAGTATACTAAGAAGATTAGCCACAGCTTATTTGATCGAGCGTCATCCTCAAGTCTTGTGTTTATCCCTTGGGATGGAGATGGGATGGAGACAAAATTTGAGGTAGAGCGCTCTTTCATTTAAATGGGATGGAGACAGAATTTGAGGTAGAGCGCTCTTTCATTTAAACTGTGAAAAATATGAGGTCAGTTTGATTTCATATTTTTCTTAAAACTTATATATATATATATATATCTAAATCATAACGTCCTTCAAAACGTCCTTCCGAAGCGGGCGACGGGATTTCGATTCCGGCGACCGACAGCTTCTTACGGGCGACCTCCACAAAACAACTTTTTTAGCTGCCGACACCCATGAGTTATTGTCAAAATATTTCAAAATTAACCAACAGGATGTCACAATACCAACTCCAACCTTGAGCAACGAGTTTCTAAATTCATGTTTCTTGCATGTGGGCATGTAATTATGGTTATAAAGTTTATTTATTTGATTGAATAGTAGGTTATATCATATCTTTTATGCCTCGTTGTTTCAATTGCATTTTAAAAAAAATCAATGGAGAAATGATGATGTCATTGAATTTTACATGCTTTATACACATACTGTATAGATATTTGTCATTTTTAGATTGTCTATAAGATTCCCTCAAAATTTATAAACTAACCCATCCCATGAGGTATTGTCAAAATATTTCAAAATTAACCAACAGGATGTCACAATACCAACTCCAGCCAACTTATTTGTGTAATAAAATCCCTTTCTCAAGGCCTATATATCCCGTAGAGTGTCCAAATATTTCATTACCCACATACAAACTTACTCCATTTAATTAGTTGGTTAATCTTCTTTTTTTTGTGTGTAAAGATACAAAGCCTTAATAGTTGGTATTTATAGCTAAACTCATCTCAAGACTGTAGTAAGGTCAACATCATCCATATACCAAGACATGAGAGAACATCTTCCATCCAATGCATAGATAACTCATAATTTTTTTAAGACGCCTTTTCACATCCATACCAAGACATGAGAGATCATCTTCCATCAAATGCATAGCCAATACTCAAAATCACATCAAGTTGACATTCTCAACTACATCTACTCATAAAATCAAATTGTTCCAAGAACTCCAACTGTAAATTGTTCTTTCCCATGGCACACAAAAGGCAGATTTTCATCATATTTTATATTTTTGCCAAGTCAAGTGAATCAGAATCACAGATAAGAATATAACATTACTAGAAAGACAACGATTTATTTATATGTAAATACAGACATATAAATAAACAAATGCACCGAGATTTTGTTTTAAATTCAAAGTTAAACTCTTAAATTTCAAATACTTAAGAAAAGAAACAAAGAAAAATCACAGTCGACCACTAGCCTAGATGAGAATGATTGGAGTTACAATTAAGTCAATTGCAAATTATAAAACTTATAATAAAACAAAATGAACTTAAATTTCAATTTTACAGCGTTAAAATAATCTCCATATGCGCCGCAAACTAACCAAGTTAAGATCCAACAACTTTACTACAAATCATATGAACAGTAAATATCATAGAATTATTTGACATAATTAGAAAAAGGGGACTCAAACAAAATTATAGAGTAGCATTTACTTGGAACACTCATTGTAAATACCAATCCAATCCTTCGTAAGTCCTCCAAATATCGTACTTTTCTGAAAATGCCCGGCTATTAGTTTCAGGTTCCCTAATTTTAAAGGGAAAAAAAAAATTAAGAAAGCAAGGATGATTCATTATGACAATAAAAACAAAACATAAAAATAGTTGCAATTAATGATGCTGCGAATAAAACCGTGAGTGTACTGGTTTTAGTTCTATCAGTAAGTAACATGAAGATGACTGAGAAATTATATGATAGACTACAAATCTCATTGATACAATTTTTGTTCGAGACATGCAAGCACAAAAATCGTATTGATACAGCTTTAGAATTTTAGGGAAAAAAGTACAAATATACTTATATTAGGACTACGACACCATTGATTAACATTTCTGAGCAAAGAACCATTATCTCAAATAAAGCCTACTAAAGATATGCAAGCACCAAAATCGTACACATAGTCAAATTAAACCCTACTAAAAAAAAGCAGATCATTTACATTATTCAAATGATGATGATATCAGAAGAAGAAACCCAAACCACAAGACAAATATTATTGCTGAAATTGAAATCAGTTACTGCTCTTCAAAAACAAGAAATAATGACAACATAAAAACAGACACTAGGGCAGTAAGGAGGGGGGATGACCTGCGACTGGACATAAAATAGGATGGTGGCCCGGGGCATGAAGCAGTGGCAGGTGAGGCTGGAAAAGGGGTTTATGGCCACTGCAGATAGGGGTTGGAGAGGAGGGCTTAAAAGACGTGGGTGTAGAGGGTTATGGTAGTAGCAGAATTAAGAAGTATGAGGGCCCTGTGACAGCATCTGAGGGCGGAAAGGGGTAAATCTGCAGCAGGTGGAGTCCCTGGATGGTGTCATGATAATAACAGAGAAGTGCGGAGGTTCATGGATACAGCAGGTATGCAGGAAATGGCTACAGCATTTTCCCGGAGGCTTCAGCGGCTCGGCAGGAAGGAGGATTTTCGCTTGGCGGCTGGACAAGAGACTTGCGGGAGTGTGCAAGAGGTGGTGGGAAGGGAAAGGCCAGTTGGAGGGGTTGGGTGATCCAACGAGTAGGAATAAAGGGCTGGTTGGGTTTATCGGTGTCTGGGTAGAGAATACAGGAGGGAGGAAAGTGGGAATGGATCACGGGAAGGTAGCGGGGTTTTTCTGTAGCAGCGAAGGGCAGGTTTTGTGTTACGGCAGGGAAAGAAGAGGAGTTATGGGTGGTTGGCAGAGAAATCGGCGGCTGCAGTTGTCAGGACTGGAGGCAACAGCAGTTAGGCGAACAGAGGAGGGCGGCAACAGCAAGGTGAGTAGGGTGGAGGTTGAAGTCGGAGAACATAAATCAATACCGGATAGGGATACAGCTGGAGCACCACCCTTGATACAGCCCTTGAAGGTAAAACAGGCCGGCGGCGGCTGTCCTCACAAACTAGAATCAGAAAATAACATAAGTTAAACCCTAAGACATGGGAGATGAAAACAGACAAAAATAACAACAAAAAAACCTTTTATCCCACTAAGTGGAGACGATTAGATGAATCCTTTCTCTCAATTGTGTACTATTTACTGTCATATTTTCATTTAATTCTAATAAATTAAGATAATTTTTTATACAATATGCCAAGGTCATCCTAGGTCTACCTCTGCCTTTCTTAACAAAAGTCAAATCTAGAACGTCTACTCTTGTAATTGGATCATCAGATGGTCGACGTTTATAGTGACAGTCTACTCTTCTAATTGGATCATCAGATGGTCGACGTTTATAGTGACAAACCATCTAAGATGACTCTCTCTAATTTTGTCCCATCACTGGAGCTACAACAACCCTATCACAGATATAATTATTTCACATTTTGTCTCTAAGTGTAAAGCCACTCATCCACCTAATCATTCTCATATAGGCAACACATAACTTAGTTTAATGCTTTTCTTTTAAAGGTCAACATTCAACGCCATATAACATTGCAGGTCACACCACCATCTTATAAAATTTTTCTTTCAGTCTAAGCGGTACTTTTCAATGACTCAATAGGCCCGAAGCTTTCCTCCACTTCAACCAACCAACTTGAATTCTACTAATAACATCCCCATAAATATCACCATCACTGCATCACTTTGAACAATAGACGAACAATAGACCCGAGATATCTAAAGCGTTCACATCTTTTAATAATTTTATCACCCAAAATTACATTTCTGTCACTAGAGTTACTGCTACTAAAATTACATTCCATGTATCCAGTTTTAGTTCTACTCAAATGAAGACCTTTAAACTCCACGGTAGACCTCCATAATTCAAGCTTTTACTGAGCTTTTTCTCTCATCTTATCCACGAGAAGGATATCATCAGCAAAAAGCATACACCAAGGTACATCCCCCTGTAAGTGTCCAATAAGACCATCTATACCATCTATAACTAAAGCAACTAAAGCAAAAGGATATAAGCTTAAAGCCAATCCCTGATGTAAATAAACAAAAATAGGAAAATATTTTGTCAATCCTCCTCTTCGAACACAAGTAACAATTCTTGCATACATATCTTTAATGACTTGAATATAAGTCATATCAACACCTTTCTTCTCAAGAACTTTCCCAATGATATCTCTTGGAATCTTATCGTAACTTTTTTTCTAAATTAATAAAAATCATATGCAGATCCTCCTTATTATCTCTGAATTTCTCCAAACCTCTCAATAAATGTATAGCATCCATAGTAAACATGCCCGGCATAAATCCAAATTGATTATGAGAAATCTTTGTAATATGCCTTAACCTATGTTCAATTATTCTCTCCCATAATTTTAAAGTATGACACGTCAACTTAATTCCTTTATAATTGGCACACTCTTGTGTGTCCCCTTTATCCTTAAAAATGGGGACCAAAATACTCTTCTTCCACTCCTCAGGCATCTTTTTAGTTTTTAAAATAATATTAAAGAGTTTAGTAAGACGAGAAACTCTCAAATCTCCTAAATATTTTCACACTTCAATTGGGATATCTCAGCTCCTACAGACTTTCCACCATTGGCTTTCTTTAAGTCTCCTCAACTTCTTTTTTACTAATGCGACGGTTAAAATAAAATATTTGATTATTAACGATATTAAAATCACTGAGGTCGAACTTATTTTCCAAAATTTCATTAAAATGTTTATCATAATAACTCACCCACCTATTTTGAATATCCATTTCTAAGAAAAACACTTTTTAATTTTCATCTTTAATACACTTCACTAATGAAAACAGAAAGAAGGAAAAATTCCCGCCTAATGAAAAGAGGGGGGAGGGGGTTGTTCAGCCCCCTATCTCAACTAAACTGGTTCGGCCCGCCCAAGCTTGTTCAATTTTTGGAGGAAATCCCCTGTACTAGTTGAATTAGATATAAAAAAAAAATATTCATTATTCAATATAATTCTAGGTTTAGTTTTGTTAAATTTGAATTTGCATTAGAAGATAAACTGGAAGATGCCCTTACACCTAATCCTAACAACAAATCAAAGTTAAAACGTGAATCTAAAATTGGATCCAAATTATATCAACACCAAAACTCAAAAAGATTTTGATATATCCCTAATTAGGATGCTAAAAAACTCATGTATCTCAAAGATGATGTATCAATTGAGTAAATTGAAAATGCAATCCCAAAGACACTATATTTTGCAACAAATCAAAGTTAAAACGTGAATCTAAAATTGCAACCAAATTATATCAACACCAAAACTCAAAAAGATTTTGAATATATATCCCTAATTAGGATGCTAAAAAACTCATGTATCTCAAAGATGATGTATCAATTGAGTAAATTGAAAATGCAATCCCAAAGACACTATATTTTGCAATTATCCCAATGAAAAATTATAAAATCAATATTGGTTTTATTTGTTCATTGGCTCTTAATTTCATATTTATATACGTAAAAATAATCTTAAAGAGAAGAACAAATTACATCAACATCACCCATAGATTTATTCATGATAACTTCTTTCAAGCAAACTTGAAAGAAATTCAAGACTATACACACCAAATAAATAGTTTATTACAAATCATGTTCTTAAACCATTCTAATTATTTTTTGATTAAAGAGGTCGTTTAATCATATCATTGGCGCGCCGTAATTGTGTCGATTGCTATTTATCAAAAGACAATTTTAAGAAACCAAACAACTATAAAGTTCAAGTTTTCTCCATCATTTCCCATTCAAAGAATTAGGTATGATGCATTCATTAGGAAGCATGCACATATTTTAATATTAACTACACATGCTTCAAATTCTGTTGCATTATCCATTACTAATACAGGCTTGCAGATGTGCATGGAATATATTCACAATAAACTATTGTTAATTGCAGCCATTATTAGACAGATACAGATGTCTATGGAATATATATCAAATTCAATCCAAGTAAAAAGGCAAAGGTTCATCTAAATTTTAAAAGATCATTTGTAGGAACCATTGAGAAATTAATTGTTTAAAATAGGTGATCATATAAATTCATACAATATCTGTGTATGATTTTCAAAATCTCGTATAAGATCTAAATTAGAAACCCAATACCCTAAGAATATCATACATTAGTCAAAAGCAATAAAACAAAATAGAGAGTAAAAATGTATAACTGTTTATACAAGTCCTGAAGTGCTTCATGAAATCATACAAGAAATAAAATAGTCCATCATTTCTTACTTAAATCTATGTCAAAAAGCCTCTTGAGACCTGGCCTCTGAACTTTTATTACAACTTTCTCGCCATTATGTAGAATAGCTTGATGCACCTGCAAACATGAATGCAAACTTGGTAACCAAAACAAGTAAAGCACAAAAACTATAAAATTCTTAAGTCATCAAGATAATAATGATTATTCTAGACTAAATAACATGGTTAACTAAGCTCAATCAAAATAAATTTATTGTAAAAAATTTTCTTCAAAATAAATGAAATTTTATAATGCCATAATTATTTTCAATGTGTTCTAAGATCTAGTGATTTTGCACCATGCTACAACATATAAAAATATGAGTAAAACAATTTATCTAAGTTTCCAAATAGATTAATTATTTAATCGACAAACAAAAGCTTACACTATCAATATTACTAGAAGAAAATATAACAATGACAATAGCAATAAAGATAAAAATAATAATAATAAATAATGCTTTACATCATACAAGCTTATGCAATAGACAAGAAATTTTTTTAATTATGCAATATGATGACTCCAAAGTTTGACTAAGAAAATTATAATACATTATAAATAGAAACTTGAATATATTAGGTAATTTATGATATGGAAACATTAGGCCCGTGAGTGAAAACTGTCCACTAAAAAGGATTGTGTGAATATATATATATATATATATATATTTGTGCGAATGACCTGGCTCATGATACAAATAGGTTGCATGAGTGGGCCCAAAAGTAGGCACCCAACTCACACGGTACAACACAAAAAAAACTAAAAAAAAGAAATGGTGCATATAAAAATGAGTTTGGTAATATAAAAATTATATACAAATAAAAACTAAAAAAATATATATATATTAAAAATTACATATAAAAAAATGAAAATGGCACGTAAAAAGTGAGGGTCAACCCAATTTAGTCATGTCTCTGCCTTTATTTCTCGAAAGAGATCCAACTAACAAATTGGTGAGGTGTGTATCATTACCCGAAGTAACCAAAGTATCATCCATAAGATTCCTGAGCTCAAGTAGATCTTCATTTTTCTTCTTCCTCCTGGAAGTACAAACCTATAATTCCTCATCTGAAGAATCAGCTGATGAGGTGGTAGAGTTGTGGTAGAAGGATTACCAACCGTTGTACCCACAATAGGTTCTAGTATATATGAAGTATGAGTTGTTGCCTCTACACCGGATACTTCCTGAAGATGAGGGGCTGCGTGATGCTTCTGATTAATTCTTCTGATTATCAGTCTAAACACAATCATTTGTAGGTAATAGTCCTTCAATATTGTTTTCACTAGGGATTGAAGGTGTATGTTGCCCAGCAGAGCCATCCAACATCACATCAGTCGCAGAAACAGTAACAGTAGTGTCAAGGGGGGTCCACATGTGCAATTAAATCAAAAACTAAATCCTGTCTTGTGGTAATTTTCTCCCCATGTGGAACAAATATGTACAAAGCAACTTTAGATTTCAAATTAAGATGAAGTTTGTAGCATTTATCAAGGGTATGTCCAAACACCTTACAATGGGTATAATAAGGATGTTTGTGTTCCATGATGATTTGTTGTCAATATCCATTATGAGTTGTGCCCAGCTAGACTTCAGTAACATCAGGTAAAGTAATATCCCTTTCCACAAGTATTCCGACCACAAAAGGTCTGGTTAGATTGAAAGTGGGTAGATCTAGCCTAATAGGGTCTCCAAGAATGACCCCAATAGAGTAGAGAACCTGATGATGAAAAAAGTGCAGCTTGAGACCAGGTAGACTAAACTGTATCGGTGCAGTGGGAGTTTAATGATTTGGGTCGAAATCAGAAGACCACTTGAGTAATTTCATTGACTTGTCTGCAATATTAAGATATTTCTTAGAAAAAATACAAGTGTAGTCTTCAGTCACGGTTAGTTGAATCAACATATGTCTCTCATCCATGAGTCCCACTTTCAAATTATTTACTAGTTTGAGATCATCAACACTCTTTCTGATAATTCCATAGGTGGGTGCCCCCATTTAAATTTTTCAATAAGAACAAACTTGAATTTCTCAGTAAGGGTTGAAATTTCTAAGTCAGAGAAAAAGAGAGTTGTTTTCCCACCTTTCCTACTTTCCTTCTTAACAAAAGAGCAATCACGTATACCATCACGACAATCCTTATATCTTAAAGGGAAAACAACTATCGACTATACTTGAGGATTACCCACCACGTGGGCAAAGGAGATTTTGTCAGATTCAACTAAAAAAGAATGGAACGCCATAAAAGAAGGGAGATCCACCTGCTGGAAGATCCCGATATAATAGTTGTCGGCGTCTCTTGCTGCGAAGTCCCGAAAAATAACGACACGCAGATATGAACCGAAGTTCTCGGGCAGGGAGAGGCGAACGTCAGCGTCGAAACAGAAGAACGACGCAGACATGCGAAGCTGTAGGCGTCGAAATCGAGCGAGACGCAATAGACGCGAGTTGTAGGCGTCGAAGAGACGCAGTAACATCGGGACGAAGCAAAGGATGATGAGCAAGAGCCGACAAAACAAAAGTGATGTGCGAGCCCTCTCCTTCGAGTGACAGAATCAAATGCGACGGAAATTGCCTTTAGAAACCCTAGCAGAGCTCTCGATGGCAGCCGACATCGTGATATATATATATATATATATATATAGTTTTATTTTATTTAATAATTTATTTAATTTAATTTATTTTATTTTTATGTATATCGTGATTAAATAAGCTAAGTAATCAATAAGGTGTAAATAAGATCTAGAGAGTAACAACGTAAATTTAGTTTTATGTTGAAAGCATTGTCTACGACCTGATATCAGGTTTATAAGGATTGATAGAGGAGGAATTGAAGAAAGCCCTGAAGGGATATTAGGATTTAGTACAAGATCCAAATTGTTATAAGATGGATAATTGCAATTCTGTTTCAGAACAACATTCCCATCTTCAAAAATTTATTGCATATGTAAATTATATATACAAGCTTTTTACATAGAATGTTTTGTGTATAATATGTTATGTTCTCTCCCAAATATTTTAATATTCTCTATATAGCTATTAATCACATATGCCATGTAGCATTGTTCTGAAATCTCAAACTAACATCAATAAATATGATCAAATCTATAGTTCATGCCAATGATTTCATTAATTATGCCATTTCTATGATTATGATTCCATTGGTTACGCTATTGCAATGATTATGATTTCAAACAACTCATACACCTTAGGGTTTACTTGAAAATAAAAATGTGAATAATTTGAGGGCGACCATACTACTCTAACCAAGATCTTCTAATTAGGCATTTAGACGACAAGTACAATACCGATAGAACCAGTGACAGTGTAGAATTATAATCAATATAGAAGCTGGCGTAGCTTAGAGGGCTTATTTAACTAATGTATGCCATTGTTGTTATAAGCCAGGAAATTGAGTGAGAAGCAGCTTTAACTCTACTCAAAAGAAATGTGCTATAGACAAAAACACAGGGAGCACCGCTGTAAAGAAGTTTTCATGAAGGATCTGCTAGCATAAAGTTTGGTTATGTGCTAGATGTATTTTTTTTGGTCTATGGGTACACATCTGAGTTTATGCAAATGGCCATTTCATGTTTAATAAATATTTATGGTTTGATGCCTCTTTTGTAAGATTTGAAAACTTATTCAAAAGAAGGTAGAATCTAAATTGTTATGAAAGATCTTTAGGACATATACCAGAATAAAAAATTTCGTAGTAGACATCCGTTTTTGCATGGTTCATCCAGGCTCCCGAGCAATAATTAAAAAAAACATAAATGATTTCAAATATAACCATAAAGCCATAGATGCTTTGAAGTCACACATACAAGCTAACATAGAATCAAAAGGAATCTATGGGCCCATAAAAATAACATAACCTTACAAAAACAAATGATACATATCGGTTTCATCAATAAAAGCTGGCTGCCTAGAGGAATAACAAAACATGCAAAATTCCAAAGTTCAAGAAATCAACCATGTCTCCCATCTCAACCATTTTCAATCGTTAGAGCTATCTGTATTGACATTAAATCTTGAGTTAAGAAAAGAGAGCAATTTATAAGTAATGCAAAATCACACAAAATCACAAACTATTTTCACTAATTCGCATTTAATCCCGAAGTCAAGGAAGAGAGAAAGCTAACTTACAAGTCACTCAAAAAACACTTTCCTAGGGGTTGTTGACTATCCATACCTTATCCCTAGTCAGCAAATCTAAGAGCATAAAACCTGGTCAAGTATAAGTTTCACAATGATAACCCATATCCAAGAAA